GGTGGAGGGGACAGCTGCACAGCCACTCTGGCTGACACCAGGATATCGATCGAGAGTGCCACCAAAACCAATGTCCGGCCTGTCAGTCAAATTATAGTGAAAGTGGAAATTCAACGGAGGAAGCAGAATAAATCTGTCAGAATTGAAAAAAGACTAGTTTCACCATAGTTACCGCCCCTTTTGAAGAAGCCGCTATTTTATTCATGATGTGCTAATTCAAGGCCACGAGGGATTCTGTACCTCTCGCGTGGCAATGGAAAGCCTGATGACGAGGGTGGTGAGAGAATAAAGATGATGAACGAGCGGGAGCGGAGAGAACTGATTTAGTGGTGATGGGAAATTAAAAACAAGTGTGGGTGCACCACCAGAGTAAAATTCGATGATGAGTCCCCCCTCCCCCTTAATCTATCAGCCAAATTACTCTCCGAAACGCATACGGCTCCGAGCAAAAAAAGACGCAGAATAACACCAGGAACGACGACGGGGTTATGCCAACCCCGCCTCCTTGAGCTTGGTCACCAGCTCATCCACCGATTCGACCTGGACCCCAAAATGATTAGCGATTCGCAAACATGATCCCTGCAGAGGAGGCCAGATGCTCACCTTTTTACCACCCTGGCGTTTCGGTGGTTCGGTGACTTTTACGGTCTGGATCCGTGGTTTGAGGTCTACCCCAAGATCCGCCTCGGTCAATTTCTCTATCGGCTTTTTCTTGGCCTTCATAATGTTAGGTAACGATGTATATCGTGGTTCTGTGCAAGATTATCTATTAGTATTCGACCTCTTTACCAGGAATCAAGTCGCCTTACCGTTCAGTCTGGTAACATCCAGCGGCGACAGAGAGGGTGGGTGAGTAAATGACATGATATAACGAAGATATACGAACCGTAGATCCGTAGTAACGATCGCTGGAAGTTTACATTCGACCTTTTGTAAGCCGCCATCGACCTCTCGTGTAACGGTGACCACGCCCCGTGACTCGTCTACTTCTACTTTGCTTGCAAACGTAGCCTGTGCCCATCCAGTCAAGCCAGCAAGCATTTGGCCAGTTTGGCCAGCATCGTCGTCAATGGCCTGCTTGCCCAAAATCACAAGATCCGGTTTTTCACGTTGCACGACCTGATTGAGAGCTTTGGCAATGCCGAGGGGCTCCGGAGCTAGTGTTTCGGGGATCTCAACATGAATGCCCTTGTCTGCTCCCATGGCTAATGCTGTTCGCAATACTTCACTCGACTTTGTTGGGCCAACAGTGACGACAGTGATGTTCTTGACAACATCCTTTTTCTTCTCTCGTAGTCTCACTGCCTCTTCGACAGCTGGAATGAAACTAGTTAGATGTTGTATTGTAAAGTTCTGATACAAGATACGCACCAATCTCGTCGAACGGGTTCTATGGAAAAGCGTCGACGTCGAAAAGGGAGTCAAAGGGTTAGGGCGAGACGTTGTGTGATCAACATCAAATAAAACTTGCCATGGAATGCTTGACATTCGTTTCCACTCCTGTTTGCTGTGGGTTGACTCGTATTTTCACCGCATAGTCGATCGACCTATGAGATTCGCGTCGGCATGTAATTCTATTCTATGACATGGAAACTTCAAGCTACCGTTTGATCGGAACAAGAACATTAAGTAGCCTTGCGGGGGTCGGACGCATAACCGGTAGAGTGTGGTCAGGTTCAGAAGTTGAAAGTCTGCCACTATGGCCAACACCACCATCCGGGGTGCAAAAGCTATCCATGGTGCTAATCCTATCGTGAGCCAACAAAATCTGTTATATAATTTATCCAATTGCATTTTTTTAGACCCTTATTGAAACTGTCATTCGCCTTCGTATCTGGGAGTCTTCATATTGGAAAGAAGAATGCTTTGCGTTGACTGGTGAGTAAACGTCTCTAAACTCCATTTCGAGTACTCAAGATTGTGTATATAGCCGTATCTCTCATCGACAAGGCCATCAAACTCAACACTATTGGGGGTGTCTACGATAACACAAAGCCCACCGAGTTCATTTGTCTTCTCCTCAAGTTGCTGCAAATACAACCCGAAAAAGAAATCATCGTCGAATATCTCTTGGTGGAAGAATACAAGTCAGTGCCTTTCCCCTGGATTAGAGTGATGCGCTCACACCGTGTTTTAGATATCTACGGGCACTCGCCGCCATTTATATACGACTGACGTTTGGGGCTGTTGAAGTTTACGAACTACTCGAACCTTTGTTGAATGACTATAGCAAACTGAGGCAGTTATCCATTTGTGAGTGTTTACCCTTCAGAACCAACATTGGCGAAAATTAATAAAACATATTTCACAGCGGGTTACAGTTTGACATATATGGACGAATTTGTAGACAAGCTATTGAACGAGGATCGAGTTTGCGACATCATCCTACCTCGCATCCCTAAAAGAGCGACTCTCGAGGAAACAGAGGGACTTGCAGCGCGTAAAAGCAAACTTATGGATGCGATGGAGGACAAGGAGAGTGTATCCAGTAGACGTCGAGGGAGATCCCGTTCTCGTTCCAAGTCTGGTTCTATGGCTGAGAGTCGAAGTCGAAGCCGTAGCCGGTCTCCATCTCTCATCGCTTCAAATGACGAAGAAGATCGATACATTTCTCGCAGTCCCTCCCGATCCCGCTCCCGTTCAAGGTCTGGCTCCCCAAACCAGATGGACACAACCATGTAATAGATATTCGAGCATTAGCATACGGTTAGATAATTAGACAAGATAAAAAGTTCCTGGGAAAGAAATTATAAAGCTTGTAGACTACATGATAATACAGTCGTCCTTCTTCTGTTTCTCTGCTTCGCGTAGAGCTCGCAACTCTTCCTCACTAAGAAGCTATGAACAGATAAGCTACAAGCTTCTTGAGTGTAGAGAAAGACAAACCCCTTTAGCTGCTTTGGCTTGCATAGCTTTGAGACGACTCTTCTCCTCCGCGGCAGACCGGCTGATCACGCAGAGGCAAATAATGCCGCAGGTACCCATTTTTTGGTGGGGTCCGGTATTATTTTAGGTTTTTCATTAGGTTTTTCGTTAGGAGGAAGAGACGAAATTGTAGGAAGACGAGTCGTTGGCGAAGGTATCAAAGCATCAGAAGGTGAAGTCTCGCACCGGTCTGTCTTGATTTCTTTGAACAAGTTTCCTTTACTATTAGAGCTTGATGCACTTGGGTTTGAAGTGGAAGAGCTCTTTGCAGCGGTCTTGACATTCTCCAAGGTGGCGGTAGCAGAGGTACCCGCAGCATTTGCAGCCCGCTTTAGTGCTGCTAGTCCCGATTGAGAGCTCATAGCAGCTCTGGGATTCGTGTTTATGGGAGCATTTATATTTTTGCATGCATGTGTATTGGGAAAGCGATGGGTTGGACAGAACTGATCCTGGCATTTCTGGGGACGCGGTCAATATAATGTATCACACAGGCATCACAGTTTTCAACGAAATTTACCTCGCAGATGATAGGACTGATTAAACTCTTTCCACATTTCTTGAAGCCACAGACTGGTCCGCGCTTCTTCTTGCCTGTGAATACCACACAGTCTTGGTCGATATGCCTCTCCATGGGGATATTGGGATCCTCCTGAGGTTGAACCAATACAGGTTTTGAGCAGAAGGGACATTGTGGGACTATGCGGTCGTAGGAGGCCGCATCGTATTGTTTGCAGTTGTGGTCCGTGGGTTTCCAATGTTCGTTACAGAAGCTTTGTGAGCAATGCGAGCACTTGAACGGCAAGAAATCGATAGTTCTGCATGATTCATGAGCACAGGTGGTTCCTGCACTTAAGAGATCCGTGCTAGACATTATGGGCGGCGAGGGATGGTAATGGTAAGGGCTGAGTTCGACGCGTCAGACTGGACCGGATTTATATTCTGAACCGGACTGCCATTTGCGGAGTGGGCCTTGCTTACTCATTTGCGCCTATTTATCATTCGAGAAGATTCCGAATACCATACATGAATCATGGATGTTGATAAACCACACAAGGCACATCGCGTCTCTAAAAAGAAGAAAGAAAAAAAGAGTGGCGAAAAGCATGCCAAGGGTCACAATGATAAAGTAATGTTCTGTTAATCAACACCATAAACTTTTAGCTCATCACTTGCTTTTCCCTTTTCTTTTTACAGGCTTTTGCTGTGAAGTCTGGTCGCCGGGCTGAGAAACAAGCAAGGCGGAATGCCGAAAAAGATCAAACGAGGCTTCACGTTCCTCTTGTCAATAGAACACCTGAAGATGAACCCCCTCCCGTGATAGTTGCTGTGGTTGGGCCGCCAGGCGTATGTGTCATCCATGGCAGAGTGGCCGTCGCTCACGTAAGATGATTAGGTTGGCAAATCAACGTTGGTCAAATCTCTTATCCGGAGATATACAAAGCACACTCTTTCTGAAGTAAAGGGTCCCATCACAGTCGTAGCGGGCAAGAAAAAGAGGCTCACCATCGTCGAATGTAACAACGACCTCAATTCCTTGATAGATATAGGGAAAATTGCCGACTTGGTTCTACTCATGATTGACGCTAGCTTCGGTTTTGAGATGGTTAGCTTATACAAATATTCCGTTCTGCTTACTGATGAGCCACCCAGGAGACATTCGAATTCCTAAATATCCTCCAAGCGCACGGGTTTCCCAAGATCATTGGAGTCCTCACACACCTCGATCTTATAAAAAAGATATCCATCCAACGAGCTACCAAAAAAGCCCTGAAAAAAAGGTTCTGGACAGAAATCTATCAGGGAGCAAAGCTATTCTACTTGTCTGGTGTCCTCAATGGTCGCTATCCGGACACGGAGATACAAAATCTCACCCGGTTTATATCAGTTATGAAATTCCGTCCTTTAATCTTTCGCAATTCCCATCCTTATCTCTTGGCGGATCGACTACAAGATCTCACACCAGTGGAGCAAACCCGTTTACATCCAACATGTGACAGGAAGGTCACGCTGTATGGATATCTTCGAGGTACCAACCTGAAAGCGGCGACAAAAGTGCATGTACCTGGGGCGGGTGATTTGGATATCAAATCGATAACAATGCTCGGAGATCCTTGCCCCCTTCCTACCGCTGATAGTGAAAAGCGCAGGAGACTAGCTGAGAAGCACAAGCTGATACACGCACCTATGAGCGATGTTGGAGGGATCTTGTATGACAAAGACGCTGTATACATCACGGTACCGGGCAATTTCACCCGACGAGAGCCAGGTCGTAAGTGTATGTTTGGTATAATGTGTTCTCGCCCTGACAAATATCACAGAAGAAGCAGAAGGCGAAGGCGAACGGATGGTACTAGATCTTCAGGATGCACCTACAACCCTTGCAGACTCTGTATCGCAAAGTCACATCCGCCTACTTGGTACATCTTCAAATCCACTAGTGATCGCCAGGAACGAGGAAGCAAGTGATAGCGATGAAGAATCAGAGGGTTCTCTAGTTTCGACTTCTGATGGCGACGACGAAGAAACAGATCAATCGGATTTAGAAGAGCTTGAAAATGAAACAAAGTCCTTTGTGGGCGACGGAAGTGGACGGTCGGTTCGTCGCATACCGCTCCGGTCTATGCACTCTGCCCCATCCAGATCACCGGAAGAAGAAATTGAATACGCAGACAGTGATTCAGAACTAGGTGAAATTGTTGGAGATCATCGCCAGGAGGAACAAGCGCCACATCTAATGTCGGATTCGGAAGATGAGGTTTCAGAGGAAGGCCCACGATGGAAGGAGGTGATGGACTCTAATCTAGAGCGTGTAACGTCACTGAAGCCTAGGCGAAGAGACTGGACAAAGTTAATTTATTCCAGCGATCTTACACCTGAACAAATCGCGGAAGGAAAAGACCTATTCGATGGCCGGCAGAAGGACGATAGGGACCACCCACCATCAGATGAAGAAGATGATTTTCTTACATTCAAGAATAATGAACATCGTGTCACGCAAGACGCGGTTGATCAAACCATGGAATCGTTGGAACGTCTACCAGATCATCAATGGAACGATGATACCTTCCTCGATTCTTTCCGACACCTTTTCATTACGGGAAAGGAACAAAATGACGACCCTGAAACGGTAGAGGACTCTGCAAATGGAGATTTTGAAGATCTAGAAGAGGAGAACGGGTTGAAATCCTCTACAGCAGAAGTAGTTGACGATGACGATGATGCAGCTCAACGAAACCTAGCTGCAAAAAAGGAAGCTCTGAAGCGTAAATTCGACGAACAATATGATGATCCAGAAACTGCAAAGCTATCTTTCTACGATGAAAGGAAGGAAGAAATGGCTCGTCAGATGCGCCTGAACAGAGAAGAATTCGAAGGGGTTAGCCAAGAGACCAGGGCCCTGGTAGAAGGTTATAGACCGGGATCGTATGTCAGAATTGAGCTGAACGGTGTTCCGTGCGAGTTTGTCCAGCACTTTGACCCGTCTTACCCGATCATCGTCGGAGGTCTATTACCCGCTGAAGAACGATTCGGGATAATACAAGTTCGTATCAAGCGCCATCGTTGGTTTACCAAAACTTTGAAGACCAATGACCCGCTGATCTTTTCGCTCGGTTGGCGGCGGTTCCAGACCATTCCGATCTATAGCCTGGACGATCATTCAATAAGAATGAGGATGCTAAAGTACACACCAGAGCATATGCACTGTTATGCCTCTTTCTACGGGCCGGTTTCTTTGCCCAATACCGGATTCTGCACCTTCAACTCTCTTGCAGATTCTAGTCCTGGGTTTCGCGTCTCTGCTACTGGGGTCGTATTGGATATTGACCGTTCTACAAAAATTGTCAAGAAGTTGAAGCTTACAGGAGTACCCTATAAGATTTACAAAAATACTGCGTTCATCAAAGACATGTTCAATTCCTCTCTAGAGGTGGCAAAATTCGAAGGTGCCAATATTAAGACGGTATCCGGCATCAGAGGTCAGATCAAGAAGGCATTGTCCAAACCAGATGGGGCTTTCAGGGCCACATTTGAGGACAAGATCCTGATGAGCGGTGCGTTCACTTTTCATATCTTCATATTTACTCAACGTTAATAGATATCGTCTTTCTGCGAGCATGGTACTCCATACAGCCTCGACAATTTTACAATCCCGTCACTTCACTTTTGTTACGTGAAAAGAAATGGGAGGGTATGAGGCTGACTGGCCAGATACGGAAGGAGCAAGGGCTTAGCGCACCGCAGAATGTTAACTCCACATACAAAGTGCGTGACTGGACGTATTTCTGGAATATATTGCTAATGTATTTTAGGCCATCGAGCGGCCATCGCGTCGTTTTAATCCCCTCAAAGTCTCTACTAGACTGCAAAAAGACCTTCCTTACTCTTCAAAGCCTCGCATTACTAGACCTGCACAGGCTAAAACTTATCTTCAAAAGCGCGCTGTTGTACTCGAGCCCGAGGAGAAGCGAGCACTCATCTTGTTGCAGCAAATGCGAGCTTTGGAGAAGGAGAAGACTACTAAGCGCCGAGCAAAGCAAGAAGAGCGTCGTACAGCACATCGAAAAGTTATCGCAAAAGAAGAGGAGAAGAAAGGGGAGAAACAAAAGGAGCAGCGCAAGGAATACATGCGACTGGCAGGACAGAAGCAAAAGCGGGAGCTAGATACCGAGAATCACAGCCATAAGAGGCGAAAGAAGGCATAACAGTGTACCCTTTGATGGCCTTCTACTTACTGCCTTGTTAATTTAATTTTGTGATGAAAGATTAGATTCACAAGCGATAGAAAGTATAAACATGTCGCAATCATTTCAAAT